CTTTAAATACAACTTCACTAAAATTTCAAAAAAAAAAAACATACATATAATATAGAAAAAGAAAGAAGAAAATCTTAAAAATCTTAATAATTAAAACATATTTATTATACGTATATCAAAATCTCTTTATATTTATAACAATGTTTTTTAAACTTAAGAAAAGGAAAACTAAGAAAAACTTTTTATTAAAACAAAAAAAAAATTTTTTTTCTATGACAATCCAATTTATATTAAAAATTAAAACTATTAAAAATAATTAATTAAAAAAACAATTAACAAAAATGAAACTCAAAATTATTACTCAAAATTAGAGTACTTTACTCAAAAAAAAAATAAATAACACCCATGCACATTTAAAAAAAAAGTAACAACATTAATTGAATTAAAAAAAATAAATAAATTTATGATTGTAACAAGTATTTTAATATTTGATGTTTTTAAAAAAATTTACAATTAAAATTAAATGAAATAAAAGAACATACATCACAATTAATATTACATAAATGTTATTATAAATTATTTTAAATATGCACACAAAATGACAAAACAAACAAATGGTAATTTCATTTTATAATAAAATTTAAAAAAAAAATTAAATAATTAAAAATTAAAATAATAATAATAATAAAAAAAAAAATCACAAATATCCCGATTCTTCAGTTAAAAAATTGAAAAACAACAAACAACATTGCAAATAAATTTAAATCTTAAATAGAAGAAATAAAAACAATAATAATAAATATTTCTTAAAAAACAACTAAAAATTTAAACTGAAATAGCAAATAAAAATCAAAAAAAAAAATTATTATTATTAATTTTTAATTCTTAAAAATGGTTTATTTTTTTTTTAAACAATAAACATTTAAATTACGTGTTTACATTACGAAATTTACACGCAAATATATTTTAAAAAATAAAAACAATGTACAATTAAAGATACCATACAACGCCCCAGTAGGCATTTATAGATACATTTACATACTCGTACCGAGTATATAACATTATGTGTCATTAAATGTACATTTACTTACGGATAAAATATTTTTATTTACCAAAACTTACATTTTCGAACAACAACATTATAACACTTTTAATACACTTACAAACATTTAATTTATTAAATACACCACAACACTTTACACATCCATATTTACTTAAACAACATGAATTATAATATTATTACTAAATGAATTGCAAGTTAAAAAAAGAGAAAATAAAAATAATATCTAACAAAATAAGAAAAATATGAAATTCTTGCAGATTTTAAATATGACACCCAAACATATATTAAGTATATAAATAAAAAAAATTATATACGATAAAAAATATTCATTAATTTAGAAATTAAAGAAAAAAAAAAGATGAAAATTGTAGAAAGAAAAAATAATTATAAATAAACTATTAAATTACAACTATTATATACTATATTTACATACTTACTATATTATAAATATGGACCAGTCAAATATTGTAGAACTATTTATATATAAATTTATTAAGTATATATTTAGAGAACAAAAATCCTATATAATATATATATAATTATATAAAATGAATAGTAAAAATCCAAAAAATTTAATTTCAATAAAAATTTTGCTCAGCAAAAATAACAAAACAAAAAACATTTTATTAACTTATATATTACATAAAAAACAAATAAATAAATAAGTAAATTAATTAAATAAATAATTAAAAAACAAAAATCTATTTTGAAATGTCTTAGCTACACTAAATGTATAAACCAAATACATGTAAACAACACACATAAATACATTTAAAAAATAAATATTAACATGAATATATAATAATAAAATAAAATAAAAATCTATATCGTAGCGAATTTTTAAAAAAATTCTTATTTCAACACAAAACTTAATTAACAAAAAAAAATTATATAAAAATTATAAGTTATGTAATTTGTATATGTTGTAAAACAAAATGGTATTTTAATAATTTTTAACTCTCTTTCCCATTTAACATACTATTAAAATTAAAAAGCATTTACACTTAATTACACACAATGCTTGAAAGAGAAAAATATTTAAAATTAAAATACAATTTAATTATATTCAAAAAAAAATAATAACAAAAAAAAATTAATAAAATAAATGTTCATAAGAAATCTAAAAAAAAAAATAAATTAAAAATTAATAACTAATAATATTGCAGTAAGGAATAATTTTATTAATTAATATATAATTAAAAATTGCTATTTTACTATATTATAAAATATCCTATACATGTATGAAAAGTCACTGAAGCAAAACACATACCAACACACATGAAAATATGTTTTGAAAAAAAAATATGATAAGAATAAAGAAAAATTATCATTAGTAAAATCAAAATGAAAACTTAAATAATGATGGACATTTACTTAAAAAACAAATTACTTGGGTAAAAATAATCAATTTGTAAAAAAAAAAATAAAACTTAAAGGCAAAGACAAAAACAAAAATTATAAGAAATATTTTTGACTTTAAATAAAAATCGAGAATCCTTAATAAATTTTTAAGGATTTCTACAAAATTTGAAACATCTAAAAAAAAAAAGAGAAAAAGAAAAGAAATATTTGTGGTGTTTTTATTTCTCCCAAAAAATCTCTATCTTTTTCTAGGTTTCTACAAAAAAAAAATCTGATGTGATCAGCACATAACCGACCGCAATGTACTATTGTCTAGATTAGTAAAAAGTATTCCAAAAAATTATGAAAATGCATTTTAAACACTTGTTTACAATTTTAAGGACACTAATAAGCTTTTAGTTAACATACGTAGAAAAATGTGATTTTGACTCTTCGTAGAGATTCATTTTGTGCGCTCCGAATAATACGAAAAAATCGTCAGTTTGTCAGTAACTTCTGGTAATAACCAGATCTCAAATATTAAATTTCAAAACAATTGCATCAATTCGTTACACCAATGTGACAATAAATGTAAAATCGGCCACCAGATTAGTTTCCGAGCCCTGATCTTTCCAAAAAATTTAGCAGATTCATTTTTTTAACACCTCGAATTTAAATATTAGATTTCAATGAAATTGGTTGATTATTTCTTTTTATATACGCAAATATTTGGTCCGTAGTAAATGTCCAGTTCCTGACACCTGATTTCATATTATGAAAGAAGCTTATATATGAAATTTCAAGTAAATCGGTTGAATATTTTCTTCAAAATTACCAAAAATGTAAAACAGACTCGCTAAAAAGTGCAGTTCCCGAAGCCTGTTATATCGCAAAAGTTGATCAATCCGTGCCATAGTCGAAATAAATTTATATATAAAATTTCATTAAAATCCGTCCAGCCCAACTTCAGGTAGACATTTGCACACACCAACCGGCAGACCGATATGTTGGTAAAAATAGCTTATTTACACTTCCCTGCCATGAAGAAGTGAAAACTTGATATACAAAATTTGTTGCCATCACATAACCTACCTATTGTATACACAATGCGGTCGGTAAAAAGAGAACTAAGTCAATCTGGTAAGAAAACTGAATTCATATACAATTCCAACAAATATATATAAATATTTATGCATGTGAATACTATGTAGCACATTACGTACGTACACACACAATGTGTTTATATATATCATAGCTTAATATTAGTAAAACCCAACATTTGTGCTGCTCATAAACTTTAAGCAAAAATTATCGGATTATTTAAATACAAGTTGTAGACATTATTCTTTTATTTATTTAGGTGAACAAATAAGCACAAATAACTTCAAATTACGTACAATAACTTTAAATTTGGAATTAATGGGAAGAAATTATTTTTAAAAGTTCAGGAAACGAAGTCTTCTTTGCGTAATTTAAAAAAAAGATCTGATATGGTTAGTACATAACCGGCTGCAAGATGTTAGGGTTTTGCTCTATGTACATAACCGGCTGCTTAGTAGGGTTTTGCTTTATGCCATCAAAACTACCTGAAAAGTTCGTCAGTTTCTTCCGGGAACAAACAAAACCCAAATACGAAGCTTCAAGAAATTCCATCAATTACTTCCACAGATATGAAAAAAAACTGCAACTAGTTTGGTTTCCGAACCCTGATTTTTCCAAAAAATTATAGATTCATTATTTTAGCACCCCGAATTTAAATATTTAATTTCAAGAAAATTGGTTGATTATTTCTCTTTATATACGCAAAAATGTAGAATCGGCTCGCAAAAAGGTCCAGTTCCTGAAGCCTGATATATATTAATGTATACCATATAATTGATCAATTGATTTAATTGATCAATTGATCACGGATGTATACCATATTCCTGACAAAAGCAAAATAAATCACATATGTATAAAATTTCATCAAAATCGGTTTAGCCGAACTTGCGACACAGGCGCGCACAAAACGAACCAGCCGACCAATATTTTTCTCAAAATAGTTTATTTATACTTCCCTACTATGAAGTAGTGCGTTCGCACTGAAGACTCGACATCCGAAGTTTGGTACCATCACACAACCACCTTATAATGGGGTCTGTAACAAGTTAATCATAATCATAAGTTTAACTCTAATTCAAAAGACAATTAAAGTTTTGGAAAATTTGTGTAGCATCATTTTTTAAACTTTTCCGTTTAAATATCATTGAACTTTGTTATTAGAAATACTATTGATTTCACAAATACGCAAAACATAAAATAAATAAAACATAAAAACACTTAAGCTTACGTTTTGAGCTTTTTTTTGTTCGATGGTTTCTTCCATTTATTCTTATTTGCTAGGTAATTTTTGCGACAGAAATTAGCTAGCAAATTCTTTTCAAATTCTAGTTATTCTTTTCATATTAACAGTCAAATGCAATCGCTAAAATTAAATAATATGTTGCATTCAGGTTATTCCAATCAGTTATTGCTATACTCGTACTAATTTATCTTAAACCACAATTGAATAAATTTTTAGAATTACAAAACACTGCATTTAATTCGAACAGAAGCTACACAATCAACACTTTAAACATAGTTAGTTCAGTAAAAGCCTAAATGCCAACCTGAAAATATGAAACCAATAACAGTTTTTATTTTCATATTTTTACAGTTGCATAATGTTAACGATATAAACGCAAAATCTAATTTGCATTCGACGGTTGATTTAAAACGCATTTTGAGAATTGAAAAATTATTCATTGGCATTTTGGATAATTTTGTAACGTCTTCAATTCGAAGTATTCATAAAATTAAAGCGTAAGTAAAACCAAAGTTCGTAATTGAATATCTTAGATACTAACACGACATTTACCAGGTCTTTAAGAAATCAGATTGAAATAAGCAACTTAAGTTTCATAGGAAAACAAAAATTTATGATTAAAATTCGCTCAGGTCTCCGAAAACTTCAAAACTATAAAAAAAGTAAGAAAACTTAATCATCTAAATTACGCTCACTTTAAAAATTTTAATTATTAGGATCTAAAAATAATTTTGTATTGATTTTAAAACGTAATTGTGAATCGATGCCTACCTTATCAGACGTTGAAAATATTGTAAAGAGAGTACAGTTAATTCAAAGAGTTTATAACATAACAGCTGCTAATTTTGTGGACGGCAAAATATCACAAACAATTAGAATTTCATCAAAACTTTCATTATCAGACTGCCTTCGAATCGGATTGACAATGAGTGGCTTAAAATTTAATTCGTTTGCGAGTGATTGGTTGCATACAGCACTTAGTCGATTGAATCAAAGAAAATCAACTTTTATTTCTGAGCAAATTGATGAATTTAAAATTAAGTCAGAGCTAATCTCGTTAAAAAAACAAATAATTGATTTTCATAGAAAAGATGATGAGAATTTTAGAGACATAACCTTAAAAGAATTCGTACAAAAGTTTAGAAATGGTGACAACGATTTATTTGAGTCGACAGTAAGTTGCAAATTAATATTAAATGTTTTGCAAAGTGTATAAGTAAAATTTTAAAGTGTTTGTGTATTTTATAAGAGTAAGCTAGCCTGTTTAGGCTGAAGAAACTCAAGTAGTGGCTTTGTTTGAGTCTCTCTTGAGTTTCTAAACAAGTCGGTCTAATCACGATTAATGCCAAAACAAACGCTCCAAACTTTACCAAATTGTGTCTTCTTTAATTTAAGTTTAAATTATACAATTCAATTTAGCATTCGAAAATCTTATCAACATTTTGTCAACGAGCTCAAAAGAATAAAAGGATAACAGCGAAGAAATTAATTTGCCAGTATCAGATGAAAAATCATCCATTTTTAAAATTAGCTCCCCTAAAAACGGAAATATATAATTGGGATCCATACATCGTAGTATTTCATGATGTAATTTCTAATGATGAAATCAAAGTGATTAAAAATATATCATCAAATAATCTGCTGAGAGGAAAAATTTTCAATTTCAAAACACAAATGGGTAAAGAAGATGAAAGTCGAATATCAAATAATTACTTTATAAAAGATGATGATCACCCTTTGATTAAAATTCTTAATCAACGGGTTTCGGATATGTCAGGTTTATCAACTGAATATTCTGAAATAATGCAAGTAGGAAATTATGGAATTGGTGGATATTATGGTATACATCACGATTTCTTTAATAGCGATGTGGTAACATTAATTTAAGCAGTGTTCTACAATATTTTTATATATTCCAAAATATCTTTAATATTTTTATTCAATCAAAACTAATTTTAGAAGGGGAACTCTACAAAAAAATTTCCTCAGTACTGGTTGGGTGATAGAATAGCAACAGTTTTGTTTTATGTAAGTCTTAACATCTTTTTCGAGTTGGTGGTTTTAATAATTCTAACTGACTTTAAACTTATTACAATTAAAAGATGTCGAATGTTAAATATGGTGGAGCAACAATTTGGCCCTTCATAAATACGAGTATTCTTCCAAAAAAAGGATCGGCGGTATTGTGGTTTAATTTGTATAAAAGTGGATTACCAAATTTTTACACCCTGCATAGCAGTTGTCCTGTTGTAATAGGATCAAAATGGAGTATAAGTTCTTAAAATTTAAGTATATCAAAATATATTTTAAATTGTGTTTTTTAGTTCTAACTAAATGGCTTCGGTCAAAAGGGCAAGAATTTAGGAAACCTTGTGGCTTATATCCTGATCATGACTATAAATTTTTTTCTAATTAAAAATTGTTTTATAGAAATTGAAACGAAATTTTAATAAAATTTTTGATATTCTATAGTGATAATCCAACCTGTATTTACACTGATAATGAAATTTCAAAATTCCAAACTCACAATGCATTTTTCATATGAAATCTCGTTCTTTTCTAGTTAGGTCTTAGAAAAAACAAATTATTCTTTTGCTTTATATAAAAGTTTTCTGAAACAGCAAAAAACTTTGTAATAAATTGAGTGGAAAAAGCAGAAGTTTTATTATGATTATAAATTCAAGAAGCTGTCGGACGCTCTAAGAATTTTTTGTAATATTCTCTGAATTCAAGGGTAATTTAGATCGGTAAACCAGTCCAAAATAACAAACAAGGCCAAAAAAAAGGAAGAGCGGAAAATTTATAAAAAAAATGTTGAAGCCATGCTTACATTTTTTTTACGCCATGATGGAAACGTATAACATGATCGTAACGCAAGCACAAGGCAAAATTAAAAATTGTTTTAAAAATTTTTTCAATTTAAATTTTGAATGAACTTAACTTCTTTAACTTTCTTACACTCAACAGCACTGATTGATTGATGATTCAGCATTTTTAATAATTTTTAAAATTTTAATTTTTTACCGCTATTTGTGATGCGCATCAAGCATGCAACATAAATTTATTAACGATTCAATAACACAGAAATAACTTTAAATATTGAAGGTGAAAACTTATAAAAATTTTAGAAATGTAAAATTGCCAAGACATAAAATGCATTAAAATACAAATTAAATTTTAATTATTAAAAAATATTTTTATTTCAAACACGTCTCGTCGCTGGTTTATGTTTAAAAAGTTTATAAAGAAACCACAACTTCTATTCTATCATACATAATTTTTTTGCAATCATACACCTATGCGTAAAAGTATTGCCATAATAAAAAATCAAAAGCACAAAATTAATCCGCTTATATTACATAAATTTCAAATTTAGCGAATAAGATAATGTCATATGTACTGTTGTAGTGACCTAAAGTAATGAAATAATATCACCCAGTCCTTTGGACTCCTTTGGCAGAAGAAAAAATAACTTAGCAAATAATTGACAAATTTTAAAACGTTACACAATTTACATGCGAAAAAATTTTGTGCCTCCTATATAAAAATTTAATATTTTATTATGTTCTAAAAATTTGCAATTTTTAAAAACTTCTAATTTGCTCAAACATTTGGTAACACTTTGAACACAACAAATTTTGTAAAGTTTTTCTAATAAAATTCACTTGAGTAAACTTAAATTCAAATTAAATCTGTTTTCGTTCAGTAGTTTGTGAAGTAGCGTAAAAATAAATGAAAATATGCTAGTAATTTTAAATATTGCGAGTCTAATTTTTTTGTTGAATAGTTCGTGTTTACTAATTCAAGTTAGCGCAACAAATAATCGCGACGATTTATACTCATCCGTTGCTTTGTTGGAATATGTTTTAAATATTGAAAAAATTTACGTTGAAGCCCTAGAAGACTATATTTTAAAAGCGGAATCGGAAATTAAGTCGCTTAAAAAGTAAGTTCGAAAATTTAACAAAGAATACATTTGAAAAATTTTAAGCACTACGTATTGAAAAGCTATTTTTGCATTCTAATAATAAATTTTTAAAATATTCAATTAGAAAAGTAATTATAGTCTAGTACTGCTTTTTAGGGCAACCCGAATTTTTCGAAACCAAACCAGCACTAAATTAAAATACAACTCTATTCTTTTTCAATCATTACGAAACTTTCAACAAAATGCCGAAAGTAATTTGACTTTGATATATCAGGCTTTAAAAGATTTAATAAAAATTTCGTACATTGTAGAATTCTTAAGAAAGGTTAAGAACACCAACTCAATTTATGAACACTTTGTTCCCATTCAATCTGATTTTGATGGTGCGATATCTGGTTTATTACGTTTGCAAAGAATTTATGGTTTTACAGCTGAACAATTGGTAAAAGGAAATTTATCAGACATAATCCAATTATCATCAAAATTAACAGCTTACGATTGCTTTAAAATTGGTCAAAAACTAAGTGATTTAAATATACATGAGTATGCAGTGGGATGGTATAAGGCAGCACTAAATCACATTAACGAAACACAAGAAAATACTTTTAATAGCTACAATAAGTTAGACAGTCAAACGATTGCTGAATCGTTAAAATACTCTAAGCTTTTAACAAACGATACAGGTGATACGGACAAATTAGTTGGCTTTGAAGTAATTCCTTGGAAAGATTTACATTATTTGAAACCTTAACTAAAACTTTATTATATTAATTTTATTTTAAAGGACTTGGGGTTAGTGCAATTAGCATGTCGAGGATATCTCGAAAAAGAACCATACGAGAGCCGAGAGCTGCATTGTAAATATGAAAACCAAAACCATCCGTTTTTGAAACTAGCCCCTTTAAAAGTTGAAATATTGAACTTATCACCGTATTTAGTAATTTATCATAATGTAATTTATGATTCGGAAATTGAAGTTTTGAAGGAGCTTTCACAAGATAATTTAGAAAGAGCAGGAACATGGAATAATGATGAAGGCAAAGATACAAGTACAACATATAGAACTAGTAAACATTCATGGATTGATAATGGAACACACCCAGTTGTCGATATATTAAATCAAAGAATGTATGATATGACAGGATTGTCATTAGAAACTTCGGAAACACTACAAATTGCTAATTATGGAATTGGAGGGCATTATGATATTCATGTTGATTATTCCGAACATTCAGATGATCCCAGATATAATAGTGCTGATGCATTTGGAAGTGAATGGGGATTCGGTGATAGAATAGCAACAATCTTATTTTACGTAAGTACTAAATAAGTGCATTACTGGTTACCGATTTTTTTTGTCGTCCCTGTCTATACAATTGCAAATAGTCAATTGATTTGTGTAAACTACCCAAATTGTTTTTATTATGTTTTTTTCATAACTCTCCCAATTTATTGTTAATTTATTGTAAAATAATTTTTGTTGTTCCACTACGTGTTACTTGCAGCTTTCTGATGTTCCACTAGGGGGCTCCACTGTTTGGCCCTATATAAAAGTTAAAGTAAATCCAGTGAGAGGAAACGCAGCTTTCTGGTACAATCTGCATTATAGTTTAGAAGGAAACGTTTATACATTACACTCATCATGCCCAGTTGTAATTGGATCTAAATGGGGTAAACATAAAATTTGATATACCAAAGCACATTAAACAGCTTTATTTAAAATCTTTGATTAGCTGCCAACAAATGGATTTGGTCACAAGCTCAAATATTTAAAAGACCCTGTCAATTGGAATTTGACACAAGTGTGGAGGAAGATATTGAAATATAAAAATAGTAAATAAATTTATTTGATAACTTTAAATTTGTATTTCATTCTGTACTATTTGAATTTTACCTGCACTTGGCTCATCACAGGTACGTAATGAATTTTGTATTTCACTTTTTGAACTTTTATACATACATACATTTAAGTACATTTTATTCGAATTGTTCTTTTCAGTTTTCAGCAATTATTTTATATCTAAAACAATTTGGTGGCGGAAGTTTCTGTCATGCTATGAGCAAAATATTTTGCTTGTGTAAAGTGCAAATCAAACTTTGTAAATTTCAAACATATTCAGTAATGAAACCCCAAACCAACGGTTTCAATATTAATGTGTTCTTTATACAAAATAATTGTCAAAAATAAGGAAACAAAGCACAATATAGTTAAGATTAAGGTGGCAACTCAAAATTTCTTATTAAATAGGGGCTTAAATGTTGACTTAGGTCAACGTTCTGAATTAAAATCAAATACGAATAATAAAAATATTCATAGTACAGCAAAATGGAAAATTTATTAAAGTATTGTTACTAATTACAATTATGAATACTTCAAGATTTGCTATGATTTTTATATTATTCTTTTGATCCAGTTAAATGATCGCGGTAAGTTAAACATGGCCTCCGGAACTCTTGTCCTCTAATACGAATCCACTTGTTTATTACTAAAAGGTTAAAAAAATTTCATATTGTAATTACGGAAAATGATCATCTGAAAATCAAAAAGAAAACATTACCCCATTTAGATCCTAATATTATAGGACATGCGCTATGGCGAGCTAAGTAATCTGGTGCACCATCTGCATATAAATTATACCAAAATGCTGCCGAACCTTTTTTGGCTGAAGTCGTCACTTGAATATTTGGCCAAGTCGTTCCACCTCCTTCAGCAACGTCCGACATCTAAATTATAATTAAGCTTAAAATTGTAATTCTTTTAAAAAGAACCTCGTTTAATACTTACATAAAATAGAACTGTTGCTATTCTGTTGCCCCATTTATACAACCCGAAAGGTTTGTTTTCTTTCTAAAATTGCTCTAAATTTATATGTTATTATTCGTTTTTTTTTTGCGAAATTCTTACAGATTCTTCAGGATCAGGAAAATAGTCCGGATGAAGATCGTAATGACCCCCTATGCCATAATTCATCAATTGAAAATTTTCACTATATTCTATTGACAAGCCTGATATATCGCTTACTCTTTGATTTAAAGTATGAATTACTGGATGTGTATCATTAGAAAGCCATGTTAACTTGCTTGTACGAACTGCCGATCTCACTCCGGTTCCATTATATTGATTCCAAACACTAGCACGAACCAATTTTTCAGAAGACAAATTTTTAAGTATTTCGATTTCAGAATCGTAAAGGACATCATACGAAACAGTTAAATAAGGTCGCAAATTCATTATTTCAGTTTTTATGGGTGCCAATTTCAAGAATGGATGATTTTCTCTTTCATATTTGCAGAATAGCTTTCGCTGTTCTGCAGGTGACTTTTTCAATTCACCCTTGCAACCTTTTTTTAGAAGATTGTACTCCTGAAGTAAAAAGAATAGTAGAAGGGGCAATACAACAAGATAAAAATTAATTTTTAGCAAAAAAAAATTTTTTTCCCTAAATTTATAAAAATTTTTTAACGACTTACCAACAAGTTTCCTTGAAATATGGTACCTCTTGGTGGTTTTAAAGATACAGGTGATTCGTTCCTTGATTTTAGGTGAATATATTGTTGGACGAATATTAGCAGATTTTTAGCGAAATGTAATGCATCCGAATGACTGAAATTTTCTCTTAAGGTCGTCAATGAAATTTTAATAGCATCTTCAATATTTCTCAAGCTACCTTCCTCATATTTCGTATTTAAAAGAAGATCAATTATTACATTCTTATCCTGCTCTGGTATTATTCCTCTCCAGCCTTCCTCTTCAACGCGTTTTAGAGCGTTTTCTAGCCATTGTATTGCATAATGATGAAAATTCATTGCTCTTAATTTCAACGCCATCATAAGACAATCAAATGCAGTAAATTTTGTTCCAAAGTCTATCCCATTGATAACGCCATTAGCAATGTCTGCAGGTGGAATATCATAAATTTCTTGAATTCGTAATACACCAAGAGTTGCTCCTTCCAAGTCTTGATCATTCGGGAAATCATTTTCAGTAGTGATTCTTGTAAAATTTTTAATAGATTCTAAAAAAGTAAAATTTCATAGAAAAAGAATAATACAGTGTGATACTATTGTCTACAATTTGTCTGTAAAAACGAAAACTATCACTTACCTGTTGCTGTAAATTTACGATTATTTTCAAAACTTGTAATATTTCTAGATAATTTTCTCTTCAACATTAGCAAATTAAGAAAGCTATGTACATGAAGTTCATTATTTATTTGATCTGAATTATTTTGTCGCCTTTGACCGAATTCATTTATTGATCTATTGTGAAAAATTATAATAAGTGAATAACTAACTTTAAAAAACAAATATATAGAAGTGGTAACCAAGATAAAAAAAGGAAGTGAGCACCGTAAATTCAGTTCAAGAAATTTTCAAATGACGAAAATGTTCTTATGGCATTATGTATGCATCGATGAAATAAATTAAATTGAAAGAGTGGAAATTCTGATATAAAAAATGGGTAAAAAAAATGTGATTGGAAAACTGAGATACAGAATAAGGTCATACAGGGTAAGACCTGTAACGTGGTATAATTTTTCGCCACCAGAAAGAACGAATAATTTTATGAGAAAATATTATTCCTGGGAAAAATAAATATTTAGCCCCCAAAATCCCATCTTTTCACATAAATAACGGACGCTTTGTTTGAGACAAAACGTAGTTACTTCTGTATATTTTCAAAAATATCTCGACAGCTGTATTTTTAATTATAGTGTTATTTTAGGTGAACTTCGTCACTAAATTACTCAATATACGTACACTCATTTATAAATAATATTAAACACCATATTATTGCACAGCTGCTTTAAAATTTTAGTTGTGTACATACATAAATATGATACTGCATTATAACCAAAAGAGAAACACTTAAAACACTGGTCTATATTTAAAAAAAAATTTAATTAAATATGAAAAATAACAAAATTGCATAAACATAAAAGAATAATCAAGATCACAGTTTTTGGAAAGATAATTAACTGTAAGGGAATTCAGTTTTTCTAGAGCACTATAGAATTTATTAAGTAAAACGTGTTAAGTTTAATCCGTGAATACTCGTAAAATTAAATTTTCTATAAGTAAATTGTTCTTTTTTAAAATAATTGCTTCTTCATTCTAACCTTTTTACTCCTTTCTTTAAATATTTTATACTATAACTGAGCTCGTAAAAGCTTTTTCTAATTTACAACCTATTGCGTAAAAGTTATAAAGGTCAAACCCTTAATTATATATAAAACTTACTTTCTTAAAGAATTGATATTTCGTTCTGAATCGGTTATATAATTGGCAAGGCTCTTAATTAACAATTTCTCAACATTAAATATAGCATTTAAAGCAGTTATTGACGAATGTAAATCGTCTCCCTCTTGCAAGCAGCAACAAACACACACTAATATAAAAATTACAATTAAGTTTTTAAAAATCATTTTAATAAAATAATCTAAGTTTTTCAAAAAAAAACAAAATTAATTTTACATACGGAACGTAATATAGATACTCCGTTTCACGTACGACTGATTGAAGAAAACTAAATTGCACTCTTAATCCAGTTATATCAGTTGTAAAACAATAACTTTTCTTGTAATTGTCAAAGTTTATTTACCTTTTGAAACACATTTTTTGTTAGGTATTTTCTAATTGTATAACAATAACAACTGTCCTAATACAAATATTTTTTTTTCATGCAAGATATGTATGTGTGCAGTATGGAAGAAATCACCTTATGAAGGGAAATTTTTTGGGTTAAAAATACGAAGCAACAATTTTTTTAACACAAATAACAAATAGCTCCCCTAAAAATAAAGTGTTATATAATAGGTTAACCATTATGCTTATATTTTAAAAGCAATTGTATACTGATAATGGGACACCAGAAATGCGGATTGTAAGATAAATATTTATTTTATTAAATTTTCAAAATGCGGTGTCAGAAATATTTGTGCAATAATACGAGGCAAATAAATTGCCAAAAAACTAAATTAAAAATGCTTTCAGCCACCTCCTCCGCTAAATTAAAAATTACTTGTTACTTTCGTGATAAACTCAACATTATCGAATTTATTCGATATTTGATTATTATTTTTTTTTTGTTTTGTAACAAATTGTACTCAAGTGATCTAATTTCTATATAGTTGTAGAAGTATTTATTTTCACGTTTAGTTACTACCACTACATACATGAAACAGTCAAACCAAACTTCATTCTATTGAAATTATTTTCCCTTTGTTGAAAATAATTTCAGTTTTGAAGCTTGCATTTCTCATTCAGAAACAATTTCTTGAAGCATTTTTTTAGAAGGTAGGTAATAATTATAATAAAAAACTTAAAAACTGATACTCCAGTATTCTGAAAAATGAGTTTTATTTTGAAAATCTCACATAAAATCATATAAAACTTTTTTCAAAAAATGTTTAAATTTCAGCAATTGTCGAAGCAAAACTTGCCTATAAGAAATACGCTTATCTTGTTTCGCTTTTAATATTGCATTGTCCGACAAGGTTTGCGAAACATTTGTCCACCCATGCGAATCCATTTATTCATAACTGAAAAGATAAATTTAGGTAATTAAATTAATTGGTCGTATATTAATGCATATACATATATATATGTATTTATATTATTAAGTTACCCCATTTGGAGCCAAGAATGACAGGACATGCTGCATGTTGTGACTTGAAATCAGGTTGGCCATCATGTCTCAAATTATACCAAAATGCTGCTGTTCCTTTTCTAGGATAAGCGATTACATTAATTTTGGGCCAAATAGTCCCACCACCATATTGAACATCAGACAACTATTAATAAATTCATCTAGTTCCTAAGGTACAAATTATATAAAATTACATCAAATATTAATACTTACATAAAATAGTACAGTTGATATTCTATTTCCCCATTCATAATAACTAAATGGTTGAAAATCATTCTGAAATAAAATAAGAGAGTGTTATGTAAAACAAAATATTATCAAATCAGTACGACCTCTTCACTAGGTTCATTTAAATCATCGCTATGAAGATCATAATGCCCACCAATACCATAATTCATCATTTGAAATGCCTCGGATGTTTCCATTGTCATTCCAGTCATATCATTAAGTCTTTGATTTAGTACGGACATTAAAGGATATTCGTCATCATAAATCCATAAGTATTTACCAGTGCGAACATTTGACACTTCGGCTCTACCTTCTGAAGGATTCCAAACCTTTGCTCTAACTAATCTATCTGCTGAGAGTTCTTTTAACATTTCAATTTCCGAATCATATAGCACTTCATGAAATATAACCAAATATGGTGAAAAATTCAAAATTTCTAATTTTAATGGTGCCAACATTAAAAACGGATGATTATTCTTTTCATATTTACAAAATAATTTACGTTCCTCTGATGGAGATTTTTTTAATTGACCAGTACAACCCTTCCTTAGTATATTCATTTCCTGAAATACTATGTCTAAAATATTATATTTTAGGCTTTCTCCAAAATTTTATACCTCAAATGAATACACATTTAATGCACCTTGAGGAAAGATCTTTTCTGATACAGTACTTATATTTGATGTTAAAGCTGTGAAATGATCAACATATTCTTTTAAATTTTTAGTGAGCTCCAAATCATTTTCATGGGAATTTTCTTTCAAAGTTTTAGAAATTATTTCAATTGCTGTTGCCAAATTTTGAGCCCCTCCTTCTGCATACAGGGAATGTCCGAGATTAGAAACTATGAGATTTTTTTTTATTGCAGGCTGAATTCCCCGCCAACCTTCTTCATCGAAACGTTCTAATGCCATTTTATACCATTCTATGGCGTAGTAATGATAATTTTCTTTTGCTAATACCCGAGCAACCTCGAAGCAATCAGCTGCTGAAAATGTCGAATTAAATTTTATTCCATTTATCACACCATTTGCCATTTGTTCAGCTGAAACACTATAAACTTCTTGAACACGAAGTAAACCCAGAGTAACTCCTTTTAAATCATGTTCCGTTGGTAGTATTAAACTGTTGTCTGAACTTTGTTGTCTGTAATTTTCTATAGCTTCTATAACAAAATAAAATTATAATTATACATTATTAATTATAGACAGTAAGTAAGTAAAATATAGATAGCTTATATACGAGTAATACCATACCCTTTACTGTTAAATTTAAATAAAGTTGTAAAAATGACGTATTTAGAGAAAACCGTTGTTTTATTGGGAGCAACTTTATTAAAGCTTTTAATTGGGTGGAAAAGGAAGACCTTATATCAACGTTAGTGCTGGTTACATTTCGGTTCTCTTTCTGTTGATTTGTTTTCCATCTATGTATGAACCTATGTAATAGGTTTGCCTTATTAAATAACATTAATTGTGCTTTGAAAATAAGCAGCTGAGATTTTTTTAAAATAATGAATATACCTTTTGAGATAAATAGTGCTTTCCTCTGATTTTGAAATAAAATCTGAAAGATTTTCAATCAATATTTTCTCAGCATTAAAAATTTCATTTAGAACTGTAACTGAGGAGTACAAATCTTCAGCTTCTTCAAAATCATTGCACACAGATAAAGTCCAAAGAATTTGGAAAAAGCTAGCGATTATTAATAAGCGTTTAAAGATCATTATTCATTGGTTGTCACCGTAAAGAACCAACCCGGTATGCCAACTTTTTACCGTTCAAAGTCAATAATAAACTAAATCATAATTTAATATAAAAATTTTCTAGATTAAAATTCTTCATTTTTTATCTATTGCAATTAACATTTTACAATTTCACGAATGTCTACATAGATAGAAATAGACATATACGTAGAATTGTTGAAGAATATTAAAAGCGTTATCTGCTTTATTTCAAAATTAAACAATTTGCGATTAGAGGAAGAACTTTTAACAACCTCTTAAATGTCAAGCTGAATTTTTGTCAGTTTTGTGAGTGATAATAAACGACTAGATAAAAAGTTTTAATGTCAATTTGGTTGTAACGTCGAACAGCGGCGAATATCTGAAAAGATTATTTATTTAATTATTTTTGTTTTTATTTTATCAAAAATAGTTTAATGAAATTTTGATAAATTATTTTTATTCATTATCGATACTACACTTAAAAAAAATAAATTTTATTAAAAAAGATTTATTATAAAAATTTCTGTTCAAATGTGTACTTACTCAGTATTGAGACAAGTACATTATTTAGAAATTCTAAGACAGAAAATATAAGAGCGCAAGAAATATGAAAGGGTTTAACATTAACTAAAAAACTTTAATGCAACTACACACGTATTTTTAGCAGTTACTTCCAAATTCTTATTAGGATACTACTGTGGAACTTCGCTATATTACATTTATTTAAGCTTATAATTGGCTATACTTAAATCATTTGTCGTTGAACAGCAGACAACTATTGAAATTTTTACACAAGTTCTTTTGATTTCCTCACATTGACAAATGATCAGGATATTTTAGACATGGTCTACGAAATATTTGTCCTCTGACACGAATCCATTTATTGATAACTAGAAGATTTTTATAACATTATAAATTATAATAATTTTCAATCAACAAACAATAACCTACCCCACTTAGATCCAGATATTACAGGGCATGCTGAATGTTGAGCCAAATAATCTGGTTCACCATCCGCATGTAAATTGTACCAAAAAGCTGCAGAACCTTTTCTAGCTGGAACTGTTACATTTATATTAGGCCATGTTGTCGCTCCACCATCACTAACATCCGACATCTGTACGTAATCGAATTTAAAAATATAGCTGAAAAATTAGCCCTAAAAAATTTTCTTTTAACTTACGTAAAATAGAACGGTTGCTATTCTATTACCCCATTCGTAAAGACCATAAGGTTTTATATGATCCTTATTTGAATAAAATTATATTAATTATAAAAAACAAATTGATATAAAAAATACATACAACTTTTGGCACCTCCAAAAAATAATCCGCATGCAGACCATAATGGCCTGCTATTCCATAATTCATTAATTGAAAATTTTCGCTAGTTTCAATTGATAGTCCCGATATATCACTAACCCTTTGATTTAATGTATGCATTATGGAATGAGTCTCATTACTGAATGATACAGATTTACTTGTACGTGCTGTTGATGCAACTCCAGCTCCTTTAGTGTTATTCCAAACACCAGAACGAAATAATCTTCCTTTTGATAAATTTTTAAGTATTTCTATTTCCGAGTCATAAAGAATGTCATATGAAACGGTCAGATATGGTCGCAAATTCATAACCTCAGTTTTAATTGGAGCCAATTTCAAAAATGGATGGTTTTGTTTTTCATATTTGCAGAACAATTTTCGTTCTTCTGCAGGTGATTTTTTTAATTCACCTCGACAACCTTTTTTAAGAAAATTGTAATTCTGAAATATAAGTAGAGCTATAAGTAAAATTGATAAAAAAGCGGAATCAGTTCGGATCAATTAATTAGAATTTCTAAATTGCATTCAAATTCAAATATAAGTTAATTTAAATTTGTTTTAAAATATTTCTTGCGGCTTAATATTACATACCGTTAAATTATTTTTACAGACTGTACCTCTAGGCGGATCTGATGACGTATATTGTTTTAAATTTGAATTTAGATTAATATACTTTTTAATAAACGTTTCTAATTTAGTAGCGAAATGAAGTGCAACTATTTTATCTAAGTTTTCTTTCAAAATCTCGAAAGCAATCTGGATGGCATCATCAATATTTTTTAAACTGCCTTCTTCAAATTTTGCACTAACGAGAAGATCAATTAGAACAGTTTTATCTTTCTTTGGTAATATTCCCTTCCAGCCCTCTTTGTCAAAATGTTTCAAAGCTATTTCTAACCATTCTATTGCGTAATGATGAAAATGCATTTCTCTTAATTTCAGTGCCATCATAACGCAATCAAATGCAGTAAATTTTTTTCCAAAATCTTTTCCATTTATAATACCATTAGCAATATCTGAGACTGGAGTTTCATATATTTCTTGTATTCGCAAAATACCAAGAGTTGCTCCGTCTAAATCAACTTGATTAGGGAAATCATTTTCTTCGACAATTTTTATGAAATTTCTAATGAATTCTGTAATAATAGAATTTTTAAAAATTATTTTATTTGAAAAAAAAAAAACCCAAAAAAGTTTTAGATTTACCAGCTGCAGTAGATTTATTTTCATATTGAAAAGTTGTAATAACCTTGGACAACGTACGTCGCGTCACATAGCCCAAAACATATAATTGATCGGTCAACTTATTTGTATTACTATGGCAAAGCTGAGCAAATATGTGAATTGATCTAAATTACGGTATTAATTAATATTAGTTATTTTAATAAGTCATATTAATTTCAAAAAATCTACAATACTACTGCGCTTAAAAATGTAAAAATTTGTTTTTAATAATAAAGAAAATGTTGTTTAAAAAATAAATTTGTGCACTGGAATTTATGCAAAATATCTCATCATTACACAGATGTTTTAAGTTGAGAGGTACGTAAAGATAATCGAAGAAAATGAATTGCAAAAGAAAATGGCACTAAAATTTTATGAAGCCGGCTTCAAACACAAGCAAATTACTTATGAAAATCTAAGGCTTTTGAAGCACATATTTAATTCTTCTTCTATCAAAAACACTTTACAAAACTAATATTTTTACCAATAAATAGAAACTTCTCAGATTACTTTTTCAAAAATTTGATATTGCGTTCTGAATCAGTCAGATAGTTGACTAGATTTTCGATTAACAATTTCTCTACATTGAATATTTCTTTCAAAGCAGTTACTGATGTATGTAAATCATCTCCCACTCTTAAGGAGCAACAAATGTACACAAACATAAATATTACTATTAAGCTTTTTATAACCATTTGTATAGCAAAATAAAGTTTTTTTATAACAATCTATTTTACATTGATAGCCGAGCATTTGTTAGTTTAACAACTTATTCATTAAAACTAAACTTTTACTTGATCTTGCATTGAATTGTAACTAATGGGTAAAATATAAAACATTACTTTTTCTTGTAAAGTTTATTGGCTTATAAAAGGTACTTATTTGATTAGGTTTGGGTATTTCTAGATAATAAAGGAAACGAAATATTGCAACTGTTCTAACATAAACATTATTTTGTACCATATAAAAGCCACTTCCTAATGTAAAAGGTCGTCCAGTAGGTCACATTTTTTATATAAAAAACTGGAAATTAAAAACTTCATTTTAATGCAGTTGATTGATCCATAGTTTTTTATTATTTCATATCACATGCGAACCCTGAATACTGAACGGGAAATTTTTTGATATTTTGATATTGGAAAGGTAAAGACAACAAGCTGTCATAGTTAAAATGAGTCAAAATGTCACCTGAATCTATTTGAAGTTACTAAATAAATCTTCATGCTTAACGAATTTCAAAGATTATTCGTGTTCCAAACTAGTACAATCTTAAGAATATTTTAAATTGGTTACGGGCTAAAACTTGTAGAAGAAGAGTAAAAAGGGAAGAAGAGCTAAGTATCTAAAGGGAGAAAAAAAAAAGCGGGCAGGATAAGAGCAATACACAAACTTAAATAAATTTTTCGAATAAAAACAAGATAACAAAGATCAGTTTTTAAATTTCCTTAATAATAAAACAAAAACTCTTAAGCCTTCACGATATAATTCTCCTTTACCATTCTGAATCACGATAAATCAGGCAAGGTCTTCGAAATTCTTGTCCTCTTATACGAATCCACTTGTTTATTACTAAAAATAAAAATACATAATTATTTAAGTAAGCTCACTTTAAAAATCGTAAGTGAATTTTCAAATCGTAAATTACCCCATTTAGATCCAGTTATTATAGGGCAAGCTGAATGACGAGATCGAGGGTCAGGTTGCCCATCCGCATGTAAATTATACCAAAATGCTGCAGACCGTTTTTTAGGTACAGTTAAAATATCTATACTCGGCCATGTTGTACCACCACCGTGCGAAATATCTGACATCTATTATAGATATTACACAATAATTTTTACTATTAAATTGAACAATAATTAAATCTACTTTGTTCTTACATAAAACAGCACTGTAGCTATTCTATTTCCATTTTGATATTGACCATAAGGTTTTGCTCCATTCTATAATTATTAAAATATTAAAAATAATTTTGAAAGTTTTAACATCAAATTAGTCGTTATACATCTTTAGTTGGCTCAATAAAGTAATCTGGGTGAATATCGTAATGACCTCCTATACCATAATTCATTAATTGAAAATCTTCAGCAGTTTCCATAGTTAAACCGGTCATATCACTTACTCTTTGATTTAAAGTGTGAAATATAGGGTGTG